ATGAAGTGCGATAAACAAATTCTATAGAGAAAGAAACTGTAAAAGAAATAATACTATTAATACAAAACAGAACAGCATGTAAGTAGTAATGGACCCTTTTCCCACGCCTGCAGACGTACTGGGCATAAAGGGCTATACCTATTTTTTTTTCATAGACTAATAGGCACTCGGTGGGTGATGTGGTCAACATCACAACGACCGCCTTTACTTCACATGACTTCCTGGTACCCATTTAAGGCTAGGTCGACCTAGGAGGAAAATTTATTTCTGAATAATGACTGTCTCTTCTGATCCGCGGGTATCGTCTAGCCGCTACACCACGGCGACTCCCATGAGAATAGTATAGCATATTGTATTGTATTATTTTGTATTTTATATTTATCTCGCCAATATCCTTCCCCTGAATGTTGAATTAAGAATCGACATCATAACACTCGAAACACTCCCTTACGCACGCCCCCCTATCTTCAGCAGCAAATAAAGAGTTCCAGCATATTGTATTGTATTATTTTGTATTTTATATTTATCTCGCCAATATCCTTCCCCTGAATGTTGAATTAAGAATCGACATCATAACACTCGAAACACTCCCTTACGCACGCCCCCCTATCTTCAGCAGCAAATAAAGAGTTCCAGCATATTGTATTGTATTATTTTGTATTGTACATTTATCTCGCCAATATCCTTCTCCTGAATGTTGAATTAAGAATCGACATCACAGCACTCGGGACACTCCATACGCGCTCCGACCCCATCTTCAGCAGCAAATTCCGATGGCACTAGTAACTGCCTGATTGTTATCCGTCTAGCTTTTCCCTTGAGTGTTGAGCGTCGGCCAGATCCCCTGGCAACTCCCCGCAGCAGCATTCTCCTCAGACCTGGATCTAAAAATCGTTGAAAAAAACATTCTTGCCAATTTCAGTCAGCTCCCAGAATGAGCAACGACTTTATCTTGGCGTCGTTTATTTGCTGCGTATGGTGACGCTTGTTTCTTTCCAGTTTCTTTGTCAGGTGAAACTGTTTCCTATTGTGTGTCTATGTTTTAGGGAAGGGATCGTAAACTGCCCTAAAAAGGGCAGTTTTTTGCCTGGGGCGGCTCTTATTTTTTTATCAGACCGTAAAGACTGCACTATTTGTACATCCGCACAGTTCACTTGCTCCCAAAGGTCCCACAACATCTAGCTTCTAAAATATATATTTTTCACCACCAAGTAGCGCGGAACTGCCCAGTATATGTATCTGCTCGTTTCCCAACACACCAGCATTCCTTCCCCAGAAGATCATAAGCTTATTAGTACATAACTGCAGGTTACACCAGGCTGATATGGATTCTAAGGGTGTATAATCTTAATGGAACGAACGAATTTTATTTTCAAAAGGTCACAAATTGGGCACGCTGGCACCTCTTACATTCGGTCCTTTCAAACACCCATCTTTCACACAGCATGCAGGTCGAAGGATATATGTAGCACTAGTGCGATTAGTTCCCTTTTCGGGATGAGATTCTCAAAGTCTTATGGCCGTCAAGTCTCAGACAGCAGCGCGAAGAGCAAAACAGACAAACTAACAGCTTTTTTTAGAGTCCGGCGCGGCACCACGAAGAAAATGGATGCAAAAAAAAGGTAAAGGGGGTGGGGGGGTGGGGGGGGGCGCTAAAAGACCCTTAGTATTTTCTTACTTCCGGCGCGCATGATATTGTTGTTGTTTTTATTATTGTGCTGAGTGGCAAAATATAATAAAACATTCGAAATAATATGAAATGTATAAATAAATGCTTTTAAAGAAAATGCCTATAAAGGGGATCTCTCAGCAACCTTATAAAATTATTGGAAACGTAGTCTAATGAGGAAGGGGGCGGTGCAGGTATGTGAATGTCACAGTGATGTCAATGCCGGGCAAAGAGTGGCCAGCGGGTGCTACGGAGGTAGAAGTCCAACAGTTGATTCACGACAATTCACGCCTTTGTGATCTGATTATCTATACAGATGGTTCGGTGTCGAGAGGAAAGAGAAATGCCTGGGAGTTCGTAGCGAAAGCCAATGGAAAATCTTTAGTGTCTAGCATACAACGACTATCATGAGAATGGAGGTGGAGGCGGCAACTGAGGTTTTCGGGGGATGGAGAACAAGATGCATACACATGTCGTAATTGTAACAAACTCTAAAAGCATGCTGAGAAATTTGAAGACAGTGATGCTTCGAGCAGAGTGGCAAGCTTCACTGGGAAGGACACGTGTAGTGAGCATACTTTGGAATCTTTTCTCCAGGCTATGTCAGCGTGGTGGATAATGAAAAGACAGATTGGCTGGATCTGCACCAATGGGTGGTGAATTAATACATGACAAAGCAGATGTGGTCAAGGCCCTTCGGGAACAAGCAACGGAATCAATAGAGAAAGAAGATTTTTATGACCTGGAAAGAATGAGGGCCTACTCACTACACTCAGAGGAAAGGCAAGACAGACATATAACCAGATTGTAACTGGTATTATCAGTATTGGAATTATGCGCTGGCTGCTGAAGTTGACGACTGAGCATGCATGGTAATGTCCCGAGTGCTGTGAAGTCAATTCTTGACCAGTGTTGCCACTTTTCTTTGACAAAAAATATCCAAAACGGTGTCAAAAAATATCTAAACAGATCTAAATCTGCGTGGAAAAGATCTAGAAAAAACATCCAAATCGAAAAAGTCAAAAATTAATAGCTTTTGCTATGACTTACCCACAGCCATCTTTCCTTCACTGATGTCTGCCTCACAAGATCCACAGGATAAACTTAGCTTGGATAATGAAGTTGAAGCTTCAGATCCAAAATGACCCTGGTATGCTTTAGCTGTTCAAATTTCTTTATAAGTGGAACAGTAGGCTTATTTCTCTAGTCTCATCAGACCGAATTTTAATGGCACTATAGCATTTAAGTGGTCAAATTTCATCCTTTTTTTTAGGTTAGATTTGATAAAATTCCTAGCACTGAAAACTCTTTCTACGTCAGCATTTGAGTGGGGTAGTATCATGGCAGACATGGCACTTTAAAGAGCTTACAGAATGGACTGTTTGATGAGGCATCTTTAAATTGTCTCACTTCACTTTAAAACGCTTTAGTTTCTGTTTTGTTTGTCCATTCAGCTAACTTTATTTTGGGTAACTGATATTCTGCTTCCGCGACACTATTATCAGTAGTCCCTAAAAATTTTATAACTTTAGAATATTTAGGTATGTCCTTTATTGGCTGAAGTATGTTGCTCACAGAAAAAAGTAAAATATTTTTCTAAACATCTAGATTTTCAGGAAGTCTCTGCTTCAATAATGAGATAAGGAAATCTTGACAGCGTTTTCTCAAGTTGTTATCTTCATTCTCTGTTAACAGTCCTTTTGTTTTTAAATCATCAATTTTTGATTCGATTTAATATCCAAGGTATGGCTTAGGAGCCAAATAGCTCTCTTTAGTGCAAGTGAGCAAATCAGCTTTAGAAGTTGGCAACACCAGTCTTTTACCGAGTGAAATAGCAAGGTGAGATCATCAAGTAATTTAACTTTATCAAGAAGTTTAGATTCGAACAGTTTATTAACTTTTTGCGCTTCCATTAGAATAGGTTATAAAAAGAGAATGAATGACAAATTTTTTTCATCACTGTACATTCCATATAGTATTTCAGCTGTGTAGCACTTTTCGCTTTGTCTTGTTATTTCAAAGTGTGTCTTCAACTTCAGCCATTGCTTCATAATTCTTTCAACAGCTGGTTAAATTGATAACCATCTAGTTTTGCAATCTGACAGCATTTTCGGTGGTGTGGAACCATCATTCAAGGCTGTATATAATGTAATGTATTGCTGTTGTCTGACAAATGATTTGGAAAATCAGTAAAGTGTTTCAGCAATAAGGTATTCCAAATTCCTTGGTAAATATTTAGATGAAGCATGTGATAATGCTAGCTGCAATGAATGACGCATACATTTTATAAGTATTAACGATGGGTTAGCTTCCTTCAACTTGGCATAAACGCCATTGTTTATACCAACCATCACTGAGGCATTATCAGTACCAATTACAGCCAAATTCTTCAAGCCTAACTGTTTGCTGATTAAAAGGTCTTTCAGTTCCTAAAATATACTTTCTATACAACACTTTTCAAATTGAACTAGTCCAAGATTTTTTACAAATCGATCAAATGGTCACAGTTTGAAATTGCGCAGTGACAAATTAAAAACATTGCGACTGATACTTCAACTTTTGATGATTCATTTATCAGTATAGTTCTGAAAACAGATGTCAGCGGTGTAATATCTTTAAATGAAACTGCAGTTTTATGCTTTTTTAGTCTCTGCATGACTCGTTGAGTTTTGTATTTTCGCTTTAATTTCACACTTGCAGTACTTACAACAAGCTTTGGTCATATCCCCAGTTTTTAATTTTGTCATCATGCAACCACTCTTTCCAAATTTTTTGCTCATACTTTACTTTTGGCATGTTGAAAGGTTTTTTCAAAGTGAAAGCCAATTAGGTGAGCAATTATTTTTTTTTAAATCACATGAAAAAGAAACGCAAAGTCAGCACAGTGAGATACGGTTGAAACAAAGTTAGTATGATTTACGCGCGTTTTTATTAATCAGTAGCGGGGCTGCCAGATATTTGTGCGTTGACCCCAGTGAGAGTTCAAAGTTCAAGTAATGGCAGTTGTCACAATGTACGTGCCAGACCAAAACAACAATATTGTAGTAAATATTTTACACAGTAATTATTAAATTTACAACGAAAGAAAAAAAATCTATAAAATATCTAACTCCATATGAAAATATTCTAGAAAAATATTTACGATCTAAACGTCAAAAACAGTATCCAAAATGCAATGAAAAAGATCTAAATTTGGATATAAAAGATCCAAAGTGGCAACACTGTTCTTGACTCAGCTCAATTCCTGGTTCATTCTTGCATTACGACATATTGTTTTCATTCTAGAGACCTATTTCTGGCAGACGAAGTTGTTGACGAAAATTTGGTCGACATGGCTTCCTGCTCGGAGTCTACTGGTAGTCAACACACGAATAGTTTATCGAATCGCTCTGAAACTCATCCAGACGCGGAAATTACTGACACAGAAATCAAAGGATATTTGATGAAAAGGGCACGACTTACTCGAAAATGGAAACGACAGTGGTTTTTATTGAAGAATTGTAATTTATTTTACAGCGAATCACCAGAGGTACTGCTGCGTATTAGTATTACTATTGTTCTGTTACTGTTACTAAATACTAGTACTAATGTTACTGTTTACTAAATGATTGTTTCTTTATAATGTACGTAATTACCGTAATATTTTAATATAAAAATACTAACTAACTTGTTATTTGTGTTAATATAATAATTTCATGTTTTAAAAGTAATTAATAGGAAATCTGTTTATGAGAAACAATAATATTAAAATGTTTCATTAAAAAACGGTTCTCTTTGCAATAACGGTCGCTAGTTGGACGGCGACGGCCGCTTAGTCGGAGTTCAGTCCCCTGGCTGCAGTGCAATTACGGAGTGGACAAGGCACGAATCACAAAACACAGTGAGTTCTTGCGACGCAAGACTTAGTGGCCACGGATGTGACTAACCCAAACCCTATCCCTAACCCTACCCCTAACCCTACCCCTAGCCCTAATTATGTCATTTGTGTTGTTCCCTCTTTTCCACTGAACTCCGACTAAGCAGCCGACGCTGTCCAACTAGCGACCGTTATTGCAAGGAGAGCCAAAAACATGAAGAAAGAGAAGTAAACAGACATGTATTCAGTCAACGGAAATATTATTGCCACACACACTAAAGTTAATAATTACCACATTTTTTTTTTCAATCATAAGAAACATGCGATGTGTACATTTCCATCTCAGCATCACTTATCGCATCATAATATGTTGGTTTGCTTTATACTTGATATATTTGGGCAAATCGCACAGTAGAAATCTGGCTCTTTCATGTGACCATAGTTGAAAGAGGGTGGCATTCGTCTGTTCCTGTATTTAGTAACAATATTATGAGACATTGCTTTGCTGTGTTAGCTTTCTCTCTTTTCCTTATGTTCACTGGCAGTAAAGTCTAGTCGAAAGTTATGGTGGTTTTTCCCTTCTGGACATCCTCTATGGCAGTGTTTTCCAAACTTGTCTTAGTCGCTGCGCCTTTTTTTCAGTTAAAATGCTTTGGCTATCCTCCGAATAGCGGACAGTAAAGATGGCGGCCGCAAAATATCCTTTCAAGTCACAGTCACGTGACTTAATTTGCGGTTTTCCGGCGACCACTGCCATGAGTCCCTCATGCCGCTCACGTGGCGTGGATTGGGGCTAAACTAGATGGCTAGGACTCACGAGCACAGCTTCATGAGATGCGGAAGCTGCTGCTCGTGGGTCCTAGCCATTTTGTTTAGCCCCAATCCACGCCGCATGAGTGGCGTGGGGGACTCGTGGTGGTAGTTCCCAGAAAACCACAAATTAAGTCGCCGGAAGTGCACAATTGACATGTGACTGTGGCTCTTTACCGCCCGTTATTCGGAGGATAGCCAATGTTTCCATGGCGCCCTAACCTAAGTAAAATTATGACTATTCATATGCAAGAGATAAAAAACAAATAAAACTCATGTATCTTCAAATATTTCGCGGCGCCACTGTGAAGAGGTCGCGGTTCCCCAGGGTATCGCGGTGCAGTTTGGGAATCACTGCTCTATGGTGAATTAAAGATGGGTAGAAGATGTCAAGGCCGACCTCTGCTACGATATAAATATGTTTTCAAGAAACCATAATTTCATGAAGAAATGGACTCGAGACCTTGGTGACAGCTGGTAAGATTGGTGGAAAAAAATAAGAACAAGGGGGAGGCAAAGACATAAAACGTAGATGGCTTGACCATATGAACAAATGAATGAGACAGGAAAGAAAACTGACCTGCTGCATGATGATGAGCATATGAGGTGATGAAATGGAACAGCCTTTGTTTATTGGCACGGCACATAATGATGATGATTTTTCCCTGCTTCCCTGCTAGCCTAGATAATATGGGCCATAACAGTTAATAAGCTGTTAATGTATGTATTTGCATATTATTTTCTCTTGCCAAACATTTTCCACCTCTTGCTGAGCATTTTCCACTTCTTGCTAAACATTTTCCACCTCTTGCTCGACATTTTTCCAACTCTTACTCAACATTTTCCACTAGCTCAACTTTTTCCACCTTTTGCTGAGCATTTATCCACCATTCAATCAACATTTTCCACTAGCTCAGCATTTTCCACCATTCAATCAACATTTCCCACTAGCTCAACATTTTCCACCTCTCAATCAACATTTCCCACTAGCTCAACATTTTCCACCTCTCAGTCAACATTTTCCACCTCTCAGTCAACATTTTCCATCTCTCAGTCAACATTTTCCACCTCTCAGTCAACATTTTCTACCTCTTCCTCAGTCGTGTGGGGGAGGAGTGTGTGTTTACGAGATGGTTTCCGAAAAATTCTGCATCATATTGTAAAATCCCCATGTATGTTCTGTAACCCTTTTGGAAAAAAGGATGGGGAGGAAATAATAGACACGCTGCTGCTCTACAAGCATGTCCTAAAAGGTGACTAATTAAGGGTTTTCTGAAATCAGATGTGTTAAGCTGAAAGGCACAGATACCACAGCCTAACTGTAAACTACAACACAGTGTGCTATCTGCCATTTAAAAGGTGACTGCAGATGAAGAAGAAGAATACAGCAACAGTTAAACAAACAAATGAAACTTTATTTTTCAAGAGTCACAAATTGGGCACGCAGGCTAGTCTTAGATTTGGGCCTTTCAGGCACTAATCTTAAATTTGGCCCTTCCAGACACTTATCGTTCACGCCTCAGATGCATTGTTTGTCATGTCGTGATCATATAGCAAAATGCCTAATGAGAAAGTAGGGTAAAAAGTACACAAGCATGGAATTTTCCTTGCTCACTGCTAGGCCAGACTCTGATATTGTTAAAAATTTCCTTAATAAAGTGCTCGAGACATCTGCCTCACTCTCATTCCTGCCATATGGAATAGCTCTGAGTGACTTTCTAGAGGAAGGCAGGTGATAGCTCTGAGTGACTTTCTAGAGGAAGGCAGGTGATAGCTCTGAGTGACTTTCTAGAGGAAGGCAGGTGATAGCTCTGAGTGACTTTCTAGAGGAAGGCAGGTGATAGCTCTGAGTGACTTTCTAGAGGAAGGCAGGTAAAAGCTCTGAGTGACTTTCTAGAGGAAGGCAGGTGATAACTCTGAGTGACTTTCTAGAGGAAGGCAGGTGATAGCTCTGAGTGACTTTCTAGAGGAAGGCAGGTGATAGCTCTGAGTGACTTTCTAGAGGGAGGCAGGTGATAACTCTGAGTGACTTTCTAGAGGAAGGCAGGTGATAGCTCTGAGTGACTTTCTAGAGGAAGGCAGGTGATAGCTCTGAGTGACTTTCTAGAGGAAGGCAGGTGATAGCTCTGAGTGACTTTCTAGAGGAAGGCAGGTGATAGCTCTGAGTGACTTTCTAGAGGAAGGCAGGTGATAGCTCTGAGTGACTTTCTAGAGTAAGGCAGGTGATAGCTCTGAGTGACTTTCTAGAGGAAGGCAGGTGATAGCTCTGAGTGACTTTCTGGAGGAAGGCAGGTGATAGCTCTGAGTGACTTTCTAGAGGAAGGCAGGTGATAGCTCTGAGTGACTTTCTAGAGGAAGGCAGGTGATAGCTCTGAGTGACTTTCTAGAGGAAGGCAGGTGATAGCTCTGAGTGACTTTCTAGAGGAAGGCAGGTGATAGCTCTGAGTGACTTTCTAGAGGGAGGCAGGTGATAACTCTGAGTGACTTTCTAGAGGAAGGCAGGTGATAGCTCTGAGTGACTTTCTAGAGGAAGGCAGGTGATAGCTCTGAATGACTTTCTAGAGGAAGGCAGGTGATAGCTCTGAGTGACTTTCTAGAGGAAGGCAGGTGATAGCTCTGAGTGACTTTCTAGAGGAAGGCAGGTGATAGCTCTGAGTGACTTTCTAGAGGAAGACAGGTGATAACTCTGAGTGACTTTCTGGAGGAAGGCAGGTGATAGCTCTGAGTGACTTTCTAGAGGAAGGCAGGTGATAGCTCTGAGTGACTTTCTAGAGGAAGGCAGGTGATAGCTCTGAGTGACTTTCTAGAGGAAGGCAGGTGATAGCTCTGAGTGACTTTCTAGAGGAAGGCAGGTGATAGCTCTGAGTGACTTTCTAGAGGGAGGCAGGTGATAACTCTGAGTGACTTTCTAGAGGAAGGCAGGTGATAGCTCTGAGTGACTTTCTAGAGGAAGGCAGGTGATAGCTCTGAATGACTTTCTAGAGGAAGGCATGTGATAGCTCTGAGTGACTTTCTAGAGGAAGGCAGGTGATAGCTCTGAGTGACTTTCTAGAGGAAGGCAGGTGATAGCTCTGAGTGACTTTCTAGAGGAAGACAGGTGATAACTCTGAGTGACTTTCTAGAGGAAGGCAGGTGATAGCTCTGAGTGACTTACTAGAGGAAGGCAGGTGATAGCTCTGAGTGACTTTCTAGAGGAAGGCAGGTGATAGCTCTGAGTGACTTTCTAGAGGAAGGCAGGTGATAGCTCTGAGTGACTTTCTAGAGGAAAGCAGGTGATAACTCTGAGTGACTTTCTAGAGGAAGGCAGGTGATAGCTCCGAGTGACTTTCTAGAGGAAGGCAGGTGATAGCTCTGAGTGACTTTCTAGAGGAAGGCAGGTGATAGCTCTGAGTGACTTTCTAGAGGAAGGCAGGTGATAGCTCTGAGTGACTTTCTAGAGGAAGGCAGGTGATAGCTCTGAGTGACTTTCTAGAGGAAGGCAGGTGATAGCTCTGAGTGACTTTCTAGAGGAAAGCAGGTGATAACTCTGAGTGACTTTCTAGAGGAAGGCAGGTGATAGCTCTGAGTGACTTTCTAGAGGAAGGCAGGTGATAGCTCTGAGTGACTTACTAGAGGAAGGCAGGTGATAGCTCTGAGTGACTTTCTAGAGGAAGGCAGGTGATAGCTCTGAGTGACTTTCTAGAGGAAGACAGGTGATAGCTCTGAGTGACTTTCTAGAGGAAAGCAGGTGATAACTCTGAGTGACTTTCTAGATGAAGGCAGGTGATAGCTCTGAGTGACTTTCTAGAGGAAGGCAGGTGATAGCTCTGAGTGACTTTCTAGAGGAAGGCAGGTGATAGCTCTGAGTGACTTTCTAGAGGAAGGCAGGTGATAGCTCTGAGTGACTTTCTAGAGGAAAGCAGGTGATAACTCTGAGTGACTTTCTAGAGGAAGGCAGGTGATAGCTCTGAGTGACTTTCTAGAGGAAGGCAGGTGATAGCTCTGAGTGACTTTCTAGAGGAAGGCAGGTGATAGCTCTGAGTGACTTTCTAGAGGAAGGCAGGTGATAGCTCTGAGTGACTTTCTAGAGGGAGGCAGGTGATAGCTCTGAGTGACTTTCTAGAGGAAGGCAGGTGATAGCTCTGAGTGACTTTCTAGAGGAAGGCAGGTGATAGCTCTGAGTGACTTTCTGGAGGAAGGCAGGTGATAACTCTGAGTGACTTTCTAGAGGAAGGCAGGTGATAGCTCTGAGTGACTTTCTAGAGGAAGGCAGGTGATAGCTCTGAGTGACTTTCTAGAGGAAGGCAGGTGATAGCTCTGAGTGACTTTCTAGAGAAAGGCAGGTGATAACTCTCAGTGACTTTCTAGAGGAAGGCAGGTGATAGCTCTGAGTGACTTTCTAGAGGAAGGCAGGTGATAGCTCTGAGTGACTTTCTAGAGGAAGGCAGGTGATAGCTCTGAGTGACTTTCTAGAGGAAGGCAGGTGATAGCTCTGAGTGACTTTCTAGAGGAAGGCAGGTGATAGCTCTGAGTGACTTTCTAGAGGAAGGCAGGTGATAACTCTGAGTGACTTTCTAGAGGAAGGCAGGTGATAGCTCTGAGTGACTTTCTAGAGGAAGGCAGGTGATAGCTCTGAGTGACTTTCTAGAGGAAGGCAGGTGATAGCTCTGAATGACTTTCTAGAGGAAGGCAGGTGATAGCTCTGAGTGACTTTCTAGATGAAGGCAGGTGATAGCCCTGAGTGACTTTCTAGAGGAAGGCAGGTGATAGCTCTGAGTGACTTTCTAGAGGAAGGCAGGTGATAGCTCTGAGTGACTTTCTAGAGGAAGGCAGGTGATAGCTCTGAGTGACTTTCTAGAGAAAGGCAGGTGATAACTCTGAGTGACTTTCTAGAGGAAGGCAGGTGATAGCTCTGAGTGACTTTCTAGAGGAAGGCAGGTGATAGCTCTGAGTGACTTTCTAGAGGAAGGCAGGTGATAGCTCTGAGTGACTTTCTAGAGGAAGGCAGGTGATAGCTCTGAGTGACTTTCTAGAGGAAGGCAGGTGATAACTCTGTGTGACTTTCTAGAGGAAGGCAGGTGATAACTCTGAGTGACTTTCTAGAGAAAGGCAGGTGATAGCTCTGAGTGACTTTCTGGAGGAAGGCAGGTGATAGCTCTGAGTGACTTTCTAGAGGAAGGCAGGTGATAGCTCTGAGTGACTTTCTAGAGGAAGGCAGGTGATAGCTCTGAGTGACTTTCTAGAGGAAGGCAGGTGATAGCTCTGAGTGACTTTCTATAGGGAGGCAGGCCAAGAAGATTCTTGAGTCTTTTGTCATAGCAGGGAAGGATGTCGGCACGTGAGCTGAGGAATGCTGTTGGAAGTTACAGATTGTGGAGAGGCGTAATCATCCACACCATTCAGCAAAACAATACACGATGATGATAATGAATTATTGTATTTTAATGTTTAATTGAAACAACAAAGCCGTATTCCATATTATGAAACAACTGTGCAATCACTCACCTACACTAAATACACCCATTAAAGACAAGCAGGGTAAACTACTGCTATCCGACGACCAACAAACAAAGCGATGGGCAGAACATTTCAAGGAAATATTAAATAGGCCAAATCCTGACATCATTCCCAATTTAGAAGAAGAAATTATTACACCAACACTAATTGCCTCCAGCGAGTCATTCACAATAGAGGAGATTAAAACAGCTATTAAAAAATTAAGAATAAACAAAGCTACCGGAGAGGACAACATCTCAGGGAAAATGCTCAAAGCAGCGGATGAAAACACCCTGCAACATTTGCTCCAGCTGATGGATGAAGTCTGGCAAAACGAATACCCACCACAACAATGGAAAGATGGTGTAATCTTCAAATTACCTAAAAAAGGTGATTTATCCGATTGTAACAACTGGAGAGGCATCACCCTGCTTTCGATACCAGGGAAACTATTTTGTAGTATGCTACTAGAAAGATTGAAAAAATCCATAGATGAAAGATTAAGGGAAGAACAAGCCGGTTTTAGATCCAAGCGGTCATGCATAGACCACATCTTTACTCTTAGAATAATTGTTGAAGATTCTACAGAATTCCAGTCGAAATTATTGATCAACTTTGTCGACTTTCAAAAAGCCTTCGACAGTATCCATCGTCCAACACTCTGGAAATTGCTTAACATCTATGGTTTCCCCATCAAATATATCAACATCATAAAATCTTTTTATAATGAAACACGATGCTGTGTAAGAACTGATTCCGGCAACTCTGACTGGTTCCCGGTGGAAACAGGAGTGAAGCAAGGCTGTGTCCTATCGCCGATGCTTTTTGGTATAGCAATCGACTGGGTCATGCGCAAGTGCATAAATAACGCAAATTTAGGCATTACATGGGTTGACAAAATTCTGGAAGACCTAGACTTCGCCGACGACATAGCACTCCTGAGTTCAGAACACACAGACGCCCAAGAAAAAATCAATCGACTCCAGAATTTCTCAGAACAAATTGGACTCCAAATTAACACCGCAAAAACAAAAATTCTAGACCTTACCAACAGTTCAGTTGATATCACGCTGAACAACAACAGCCTTGAAAAAGTCAACAGTTTCACTTATCTAGGGAGCAAGATGTCATCTACAGGAGATACCGCACCAGAAATACCATTTAGAATAGCACTGGCATCTAGTGCCTTCAATAAACTGTCTAACATCTGGAAATCAAAGACACTTAGCAAACACACAAAACTCAAGATCTTCAATTCTTGTGTGATTCCAGTACTAACCTATGGATGCGAGAGTTGGAAATCAACGAAAACTCTAGACACAAAATTAGACAGTTTTGAAAATAAATGCCTTAGAAGAATACTAAATTTCAAATGGTCAGATTTCCGAACCAATACACAAATAAGGCAAGAATCCAGGCAAGAGTATGTGTCTAATTTTATACGAAAACGCCGCTGGAACTATGTCGGCCACGTCCTTAGAATGGATAAATCAAGACTTCCTTACCAAGCCCTCATTTGGACACCACAGGGGAAAAGATCTCGTGGAAGACCAAGGGAAACCCTACGTAGAACTATCATCAGGGAAGGCTCGCTCATGGGCCACTCAAACATCCAAGACCTACAACGGATTGCAACGGACCGCCGTGCTTGGAGAGTCACGACCTCTGCCCTATGTGCCGCACTCGACACAAGAGGAAAGACTAACTAACTAATTAGATAAAACTGTAATGGCTGGATAGCGATGTGATTTCTATCAGAAAGGCATCAGCTAAGTGATTTTGTGTGTCTTGTTCGTATTTATGGTATTGTAGATTTATGTATGTGCTGATGAAGGCTAGAGAGCTGCAACGTTCACTTCTCATTTGGGTTTGCAGTAATGTTAAGCTGACTGGTTCTGCTTTTTGTTTTCTTGATATTTTTTCATGATGCATTAGATAAGAACATTTTGCTCACAAGCACCTACTCCAGTCAGCCAGGTGCATGATGCAGATTATAATCTTCTTCGTGTTCACCAGCTGTAAACTCCTGTGGAAAGTTCTGGTTGTTTGTCCACCTCTGGACGTTAGTCTTGTTCCAGAGCCTGAGTGTTGCGTGTACATTTGTGCAGATCTCGCTTACTTGTGTGTAGAATGTTGGTTCCCTGCCTCTCAGACAGATGCACTCCAACTTCGAAGGAAGCACACAATTAGTCGACTCTTATGACATGCTGGTTGGGGAGGCAGTGAGTCTGTTCTTGTTTCCCCTACATTGGGGTCCCTGAACCCACAGGGGGAGCAGATTATAATGAATTGTTTTTTTTTTACATGTGAAAATAACAGTAAGAACATTTTGCCGACTCTTTCTATCCCAGGGATCCCTTAAGAAGATCACTTTAGCAGATGCCGATATTTCTGAAACGAGAGTTGACAAGAAAAAATTTGCCTTCCGGATACGGAGTAAACAGAACGGCAGAACTTACTACATTCACGCAGAAAATGAGCTGACCCAGAATAGTTGGATGCAAGCCATATGTTTCGCCAAGGCTGCGGGTAATCACGGGAGTGCGTCCCAAGCATGTTCCATCCAGTGATCACTGCTATCACCTCTGTTACTTCACACTGATTATAAAATGCTGTGATATGTTTTGTGACTGCTTATTTCCCTGATTTTGTAAATATTATATTTTTAAGATTCTGCTATGTCCACTATATTTTAAAGTATGTCAGTACAGTCATAAGGGAACAGTTAAGCACATAATTGAATTGTAATTTATGATGACCTTGCTTAGATATTAATTCATGGAGTCCCATCCATTTGTATTTTAACATATATATATGTACCTACTGCATTACTTTTACATAATCTACCCCAGTCTGTTTTAACTCTGTTACTTTGACAACAGTTTTTAAAACTTTAATTGCATACCCATTGTAGGACATTGTGCACATCACCCTAATGCTTATTAGCTGTCTTGTGGTTTTGATACAAAGAAGGAGTACTTCATTTGCAAATTTAATTCCCTTTTGTCACATAAAGCAGGTTATGTTGTGCAGTTTCATCAAGCATTTTGTCTGGTAAATCAGATTTCAACAGATATTACAATTTCTGATTTGTATTTTCCGATCTTCAACTGACCCCAGTCTATTTTGAGGCAGCAAATGTTTGTGTTTAATTTTCCGTGGTAGTCTCCCATATAACCTATCATATCAAATAATTTAAAAACTGCTGGACTCATTTTAGTAAACGTACTTTAAAAAGTTCATCCAAAATCATTGCTTACCATTATTTTACTTTATACCAAGTTTGATTCATGCAGCATATATAAAGTCATACCTGCCATATCTACGCAGTTTGCTGTTGTAGCCAGTACCACTGCTGTTATACAGGCATAATGGCCTTTACCCAAAGATTTCATGTCTGCAAAAACTATCAAGTGCCAGAAGAAGAAGAAAGCAACCGCTTTCTTAGCGTGATAGGGTTAAGAAAAGAGGGGCAGAGCAAAGCTTGAGAAAAGATTCTTGATAGCCTTTGGTTATGGCATAGGAAAGTGTCGGCACACTAACTGATAGATACTCTTTGAGATTTCAAGTTGTGGGGAAGCTTGATTGCCCACATCAGTCACCAAGGCACTTGATGAGGATGATGAAGATAATGATGTTTGAGTACCCTTGGTTGATTTTAATGCTGTATACAGCTTTAGAAGGGTTCTCTGTTGCAAAGTGATTACATTAGACTTTGTCCCTCACTTCGCTAATGCAGATGTTTCACAACTCCCTGGGGTAGTTGCTGGAATAGAGGGACATTGTGTCATATTCAGACTAAGGAAAAGGCACAACATATTTTGCCAGCATATGTTCAAGTTTTTCACTGTCAGATACATGGATATGTGTCCTTGCAATTTGGCACCAGAAAATGCAATCTGGCCTGCTCCAACCTCAGTGAAGACAAAGCTGTATGGTACATGAGGAGATTTGGATTGTACAATAGTTTCATCAAGACTAACCAGCTTCCTGGTATACATTTTCGGACAAGTATCGAAGAAGAAGACTTTGCTGGAACCACAGAGTTCATGCTTTGTGCACAGCTCTTGCAGATGGAAAGCCAATCTGTGGAGAGACTAAGCAGCATGGGATAAAACCCAGGTTAATCTTTTCATATTTAAACACAATCAGACAACTTTACACTAACTGCCTATGTTGACTTTTGTACAAAATGTTAACTTATACCCCCAAAAAAATGAAATAAACATTTGTATGTATGTAAATATTTTTTCAATTAATATCTGACAGTTAAAAAGAAAAACATTTCCTATGTTTTGCTTGTGTTAGACTGCAATGCCATATTGCACAATAAATAGCACAATTAAAATTGGTCATTATTTTGTTTACCAGGCTTTAAACAGTTGAACACATGTGTAACATGTCCAAATATGGTATTACATGCTTACAGCAGGAGCATAATTTCTGACATTGTATTAACTTTTCTGTTTGTTTATTTACATTGATGTTTAATATTGCTGTCTGTATTCAAAGACATTTCTTTTTTTTTTTTTTTTTAACTTCAATATTAATTAAACAATTAATAATTAAACAGTTTTAGCATTTTCCCCAAGAGTAGTATTATTTTAAAGTTATGACAGCAACATAATTATCTAAGTTTTTTTTATACTTGTAACATTTTCCCTCCATAAAGCTTACATTGTTTTCTCTCTCTGTGAATGTCTATTTAATCCACTTGACAGTTATATCTGTTGTTAGTCATGAAATTGCCAAACTAATAACTTCTTTTGCAATTAAGGTTGTTCATGTGATCATTTTGTTAACATAGTGCAGGATTGTCCATCCTAATTCCAACTATTTCGGCAGATTTCAAAACACACCTGTTAAGTATGTGAATAACCCTAGATCAATTGCATACCCTACCCTGTGTGGGTTTTGAGACCTCATTTGTGAGCGTCCTGGCCGTGGTCGTGTAGTGTTTAGTACTTTGGGTTGTTACTTTGAATCCTGGTCTCACAGTGCCAAGCTCACGAGTTTTATTTTTAACACCTCAAGTGCTAGAGGTTCAGGGTTCAATCCCTGGTAAGGGCTGGGATTTTTTTCACGTAGACTTGGACTTCTAGTAATTTCCCCTGGAGCTGACCAACTGCTCCTTAAGAAACATGCCATAAAGATCAGCAAATTGAGTATTTGCTGAAATCGCACGTGTTGAGCTGAAAGATGCAGGTATCACAACTTAGCTGAAAACCATAAAACAGCTTGCTGTCCCTTTAAAGGCGATGAAAGAAAAAGAATTATGGACGTGATATTTTAATGGTTATATACAGTAATGAGCAGATATTCTGCAAGCGAGTCAAAATCAACCAGAAAGAAAGAATTCATTGTTTCCAAAACTTGTCTTCTGCTAGATTCTGGTCATGTATTGATAGAGATTTAGGAGCGGAGCAACAATGGGGTGACCCGTTTGCTATGATGCTGAAACTAGGATTACCAGATTACCAGAGATTCTGCCTTTCAGGTTATTTATGACACGCTAAACCATCAACTTTTCATCGGTGACCAGGACACCCATTGGCTGGCCGGTAGACGACTTTGTCGCCAGGTCAGGACAGTATTCGCTTCTGTCTCCTTTGATCGTATCAACACTGCAAGTCTTTTTCAGGGCTACTTGTTGCTAAACCATTTGATGTGGCGCAAAGAACCTAGTCACAATTATAACCTAGAGCTTAACCTTTGGGAATGCTGGTTGAACGTGACAATTTTTTTTTAGCTAATCAACATAACAGAACCACCTTTTGAAATTAGGTTGGTCAGTCTTAGGTTATTTAACTCTGTCGTTACCAAACAATGCACCTTACATGACCAGAGTTTGCTCATGTATGCATCACTCAGCATGTTATATATGTTTGTAAAACTGACATTAAGTCTGTTCACACTCAAACTCTCCAACAACCAATTCTCTTCTACTTTATGTTGTAGATTTAGCCCCTGTGGATGTAGTACACCTATGAGTGTATTATTGTTATTGCTTCACTCAGGCATTAGCTATAACCTGATGAGAGTGAAAGAATTAAGGCTGTGGCATCCCCCCCCCCACCCCCCCCCCTCACACACACACACACTATTTTTCTAATTATGGATATATATCAATTTAAGTCATATACACATACATTTATATCCGTCTTACTTGTGAAATAACAAGTGTTACATTTAGTGAGTTAGATTTTCTCCAGTATCTTAGTTTTTATTGCTTTTTATGGTTGTCCTTTTACGTCACCAACTATTTCTAGCACCATAAAACCTGGAATTCCTCATGACATGGAAACAATTTCTTTACTTAAAAAAAAAATTATTACTCCCATGAGGGGTTCTGGGCATATTGGAAGGGGGGACAAGAATAGACCCACTGCCAACCCAAAAGAGTGTTGTAAGAGTCGACTAATTCCTTTAAAGTCAGAGTGCATCTGCCTGAAAGACTAGGTGCCAACAATCTACATTAAAATGAGTCAGATCTGCAAAACGGAGGTGTATGCAACACTAAGGTTCTGGAACAGGACTAATGTCCAGAAGTGGCTGAACACCCAGAACTTTTTGTGGGAGTTAACAGCTGGTGAACCTGAAGAAGAAGAACACTTATTATTTTCTATTTAGTCATTTTAACCAAACTATTTTCAGCCCATCTTAGGAAGTTGCAATAGCATAGTGGCTAAGTGCTCATCTGCAAACCCAAAAGTCTAATGTTCAGATCCACATCGAGGGAGTTTTTTTTTTCTGAATTGACCTTTTGTCACAGGCTGTCCCAGCCAAAAATGGGTACCAGGTGATGTCTTGGGAAGTAAAGGCGGCCTGATCACCTGTCAAGTGCCAATTAGTCCAATTTAAAATTAAATAAAAAAATTAAATAAACCAAGCAATATATACCTGAAAAAAATCAAAGGCTTGAACAGCGATCTTTTTTTTTTTTTTAAACTTACTGTTTGTGTGTTTTAATGCCCTTCTTGCTGTTTCTCTGTCTCCCTCTCTCTCTTTCTGTCTGGCTGTCTATCTCACTTTCACCTTTACTTTAAAAAAAAATATTATGAATGTTATCTAGTCACATCGTTATTACTTTGGTTTTCATTGTTTCAGTATTAAGGATGAATTTGGATATTTGCCGCTGTTGTAGGCACTTTTTGTAAAATCTGCTGAGAAACTGTTGGTTTACTTTTGTGGAATGTAAAATATAAGTAAAGTAAGTAAGTGAAGGACTCATGTTTGTATAGACCAATGGGTACTCAGTGGGTGATGTGGGTAGCATTCTTTACTTCCTGGGACATCACCTGGTACCCATTTTATGCTGGGTCACTTGAGAGCAAAGGTCAGTATTTAAAAAAAATCTGCCTCTGTGCTGAATTAAACCCAAGACCTGCCAGCAGGGGGATATCTAGCTACTATGCCACCAGGGCTTTTAATGTTACATTTTTTTAGGTTATGCCAGTGTGTGGGAAAATGAACCAGGAGATAGACTGGCTGGTTCTGCTCCATTTAGTAGTGAATTGATCATCATAATCATAAACCATGTTAAGCGTCGTGGGGAGGAGTAATTTACGTT